AGGCTATGATTACAGCTCCTGCTATGTGTTTCGTTCTGTGTTATGCGCGTCAGCTTTCGAATCAGTAGAATAAATTTTGTTCGTTGTAAATGACAATCACTGCTGCATTGCGGCCGATGAGTAAGCGAGGGTAATCGACACGCAATATGACGGAACTTATAATATATTTGATAATTTAAATTCAGTGAGGCAATAACATATGCACTACGCATGGCCATTCAGAAGAATCTCACGTAATAATATAAGCAAAGCTGTTAACAAGCCAATTTTGATTTATCGACAGCTATTTTCATCATTTTCTCTTGTTCAGCGAAACTATCGCCTTATGGCAACGTGTTTGCTTCAAATAATAAAACTGTTCAGCATGTAGGATGCTTCAGGTCACCGTGTACATTATGAGTGTGTTTACTTATTACTGATGAATGCAGATACACAACGCCGCTGATATCGCCAGCTTTGCAGAACACTGATTCTCCGTAATCACGTGATTCTGTTGTTGACCTCAATTCTGTGACGAACTGTAAGGGTTTGCTCGTTCAGTACAACATTGTAGAACGATCGCTTTATGAATATCGATGGTCACAATTCAAGATTCCGTAATAATAGTATCAATAGTGGTCTGTCGTTTGTTGCATGCGATTAAGCATTGCACTGTTTACGCAAACGTTTCGGAAATCTCCTGACTCTCAGTAGCTGATTCTGAGATCCAAGATTGAAGCATTTCTGACCTGGTCTTCACTTTACATCAGGTTGTTGAGAAATCGTGGGAGTTTGTTCATGGAGTTTATGTTTTTTAGTTTATTTCGTCTGAAGAAAATTACCAGTAACCGAAACCCATGCATGATTGATTGTACCTTCAAAGATGTGGATCGATGGCCGATGGTAGAAACTATCTCATCCCATTCTCATATAGTGAAAGCAGGTGCTGCATAAGAGTGAATGGCGTTAAGTCGAGACCTTTCAGCATTGGCAATGGTCTCCGCCAAGGCTGCTTTCTGTTCTCTCTCCTGTTTGTGTTGTACATGGATAGAATAGTCAGAAGCTGCCAAGGCGATAAGTGTATCGGTATAGGAGATATGAAGACGAGAAGGTTGCTGTTTGCAGACGACCTTATTTTATTAGCATCTTCTGAAACTGATCTTCAGCTCTCCTTAGAAAGGTTCGTAGCCGAGTTCGACGTGACCGGCATGCGTGTGAACGCATCTGAAACGAAAAGCCTAGTGCTTTCTCGTTTTCCTGCCCGT